TGAAGTCATGGTGTTCTGAGACTAAAAATTAGCACTAATGAGGAAACATAGCTTCCGTATTTTGTCACTCTGAGTTTCTGCTATGTATGGACAACTTCTGAACTTGGATGTAATTTAATCGTGTAATCACTAAGTGGGTATGTGTATGCTCATAATTCAGTTTACCTGAATCCAAATGACCTTCCTCCCACTACAGACCTCTTCCAGAAGGCTGTGCTGGGATTATCAGTCCTTCCTCGCATTGCGTGTCTGCCCGCTGGTTGATAGTCCTGGTGCTATGAGTCATTTAGACATCCATGGCCATCCTTGTTTCCCAAGAAAGATATCCTTTCCCTGCAGGGTAACAAATGGCTGGAAATCTTTCTTCAAAGCCCAGCTGAAAGTAAAAAACACATAATATTTCCAACCTGAAATAGATCTGTTCGGAAAACTCGTGTTTTCAAAATGTGATTTAAGAGTTTACCAGGAAATTATTTCAACCTGGGACCGCTGGTGATTAGATCTTGCTGAACTGCAAGTGATGCTGTGCAAGACAGAGCGTTAATCTCTGATCCTCAACTTGTCTTCACTGCAGTAAGCCTGCTGCTGTGGACCAAGAAAATACCTGAACAGGTGTTACAGGCAGCAGGAAGAATTGGGTGTTCTGTTCAGCTCTGCATTGCTTGATAGAGAGGTGTTGCTTTGAACCCATAGTAGGGCTGAATTGTGGGTTGCCTAATAAAGCCTTAGTTATTAGGCAGTGCAAGCGATAAAGGATGAATGATGATGCATGCTATGAAAGGAAACAGAGACATAAAAGCAGTTTAGATATACAGTCACTGAATATTAATTGGGGGCCCAGTCTGATATTTTTCAAGCTCCTCAAGTTCAGTGGCCAAGGTTTCATCTTATTCATGTACGCTTCATGTTGCAGAATAAGGATTTTTATCGATGTTTTGTTAAAAATCTAAGTACTAATGGCTGCATCTCTAAGAAACCAAATTTGAAGAGTAACTGTTATCACTGAAAAAATTTTTAATTTGAATTTTCTTGTGCATTACCCCTCTAAAGTTCAGAGAGTAAGTTAGTTAATGTAGGTAAAGCTGCTGATACAAATCAGTGCAGTGGTTTAAACCAAACAAAAAATCACAGATTGCATTGAAATGTGGATATAAGCATGTTGGAATGACTTAGGTGTCAAAGGCAAACTGGACAGAGAATGTAGAGACACACATTTTGAATTAATTTTGTCAAGTTTCTGGTAAACTCAAGTTAGTACAGCAGTTTTGCAGAGTAGTTATTTGGCAGCAGTGCTGTTGAGCTGTTAACCTCTCCAATGTCTATTCATTAGGAAGATTTACATTTCAAAATTTCCACTGCTAAATCTTTTATCTTACTCCTGTAGCTAGGGGTTTTATGTAAATTTTGCTTGCAATTGTACGTTTGTTTGAAGTGAGTGACTGCTAAGAAACAATGTTTATTACATTCAGAGTGAAGATCTATAGAGCTGCAGTCTTCAGAAGTTAATGCTAGCTAACTAATCCAGTCCATTAGCCAAAACCCCTCACTAAACAGTTGAAGTGCTTATAATGCTTGTTGCTTGATAGACTCAATGCTTTCTTGCAAGACAAGGTTCATTCACTCACTGACTTAATCAACTGGATAAACTCTGTGCTCCTTTATGGTAAGGCAATAGCACAGATGAAGACCATCCTCCCTGGTGCTATACATGGGTTAACACCAGCATGTCCATCACATTACTGACTTTACGCATTAATGACTTTGGAAGGCATTCTCTTGCTAATCGTAGAATCACAGAATCATTGGGTTGGAAGGGCCCACCTTAAGGCCCACCCAGGAGTTCAAATCCCTGCCATAGGCAGGGACACCTCTACTGGACCAACTTGACAAGAGCCCCATCCAGCCTGGCCCTGTGCACATCCAAGGAGGGAGCATAGCCATTGATTTATATTTCTCCTGCAGCAAATTTAAATCCTTTAAGTGCTAGGCAATGTCATTTTTAGAAAAGAGAATGGAAATGATTCATAGAATACTGTGGAAAGGTATGTGCTTCATTCCCTTACTCTCAGTTTCTCACCTGTGAAAACTGTGTCTTCCATGAAAGAGGCCTTAAGATAATGATGGCAGAATCCCAGAGCCTGTAGCTATTTGTTCAGGTATTTATTAGCCTGTTTGGTGTTTTTTATTCTGTTTCTTTGTTTGTCTCGTGGAGGCCATAGCAGCTGAAAGGCCCCAGCTCAGGTGAGAGCTGCATTGCTTCAGTCCCTACACAAATATCCCTTGCTCAAAGACCTCCAGTCCCAAGGGCAGCAGAGGCAGGACATAATCTTCTCATTTTCCAGCTCATAAAATGACTTGTCGAAGGTCACTTATCTTGGCATCCAAGGAACTAGTTCTGTAGCAATAATGAAACAGAGTAAAAGTTGCTTTAGAACCTGGAGAAAAATATTTCTGAACTCAGCTCCTTTTAAATATGCTTTTTTTAAAAAAAAAATAATTGAACAAAAAAAATATAACAGCTTTGTGAATGATGGCCTCCATATTTTCATTTCAGAGATACTGAAAATGGGGGAAGTTCTTCACAGAGAGTGGGGAGGTGCTGGAACAGGCTGTCCAGTTAGGTTGTGGACACCCCATCCCTGGTAGTGTTCAAAGCCAGATTGGATGGGGCCATGGGCAGCCTGGTCTAGCTTTAAATGAGGAGGTTGGCAGCCCTGCTTGGGGCAGGGGGATTGGAGCTTGATGGTCCTTGAAATCCCTTCCAACCCAAACCATTCTATGATTCTATTATATGGTTCTAGAGAGGGAAAGGAGGCTTGGTTCTGCAATCAACAGTCCTGTTTGTCTTTCCATTTGACATGGGAATTTCTGTGCTGATCTGTTCCTGTGGTTACCACTACATCCTAGAGGAATCACAAAAAACAACTTGTTGGGGGCCTGTTGGCATTTCTTCATTTGGTATTCCCTGGAGGTACCTCAAGGATAATGCTTCTTCCAGGATTTTGTCATGGCTTTTCTTTAACTTCTCTTGTTGGGATCTAGGTCCCAGAAGAGTTGAGGAGCAGCAGAAGGGCCATGTCTGAGAACAGGGGGTGCACATCCGTTGTTGGGCCCATTTGTGTTCTCCAGGTGAACACGTAGCTCCTTAGCTCATGGGTTGCTCAATACACCATTTGTTTTTTACACTTTTAAAGAACTTTCACCTTCCCTGTGCTTATGTATCCCTTATTAATGTAATGTCAGCCCTCCACAAACCTGACTTTTGTAAGTGGAAAAAGAAACAACAACAAAAACAACTGAGTGGTTCTCTACAGCTGCTGAGACAGAGCTGAAAGGGAAATGTGTTTATCCACCACCCAGGGGTGCCATTGGGATCCCAATTCCATTTGACTCCCATTTGGAGAAGGGAAGAAAACAAGCAAAGAGTTCTGCTTGCATGACTCGGGTGGTTAATGTACTGTGCATTATTGCTGTAAAGCCAGGACCTCAATCTCTCAGCTCTCCCGAACACAAACAGTCCTTGGCTTTTATAGAATCATAAAGAGCTGCCTTAAAGGCTGAGGACAAATTCAAGCCCTGATAGGAATTGGCACAGATACTGCTGTATCTGAAGGGAGTCGGAGTTTCTTGCACTGTGGCTGAAGGTGATCCACAAGTGAATACAATTGTCCCATCAAATTCTGCTGAGCAGCCTGTCTCCTATATTCCTGCCTTTGAGCTGTCATGTAAAATGACATTTTCAGCTGAGTTTCAGGTAGCAGAAGAGTTTTGGAAGCTCTCCAGCATTCTGCAGAGGGACCAGGGGAGGATTCCAGCTGCTTCTCAGATCCAAATGCAACAGGAACTCTGACCCTGCAGGACTTACAATTGCTCCTAATGCCTTTGCTTTTTCATAACGATTGCAGCAGTGTGCACCATGCAATGGAAATTTGTGATAAATTAGCTCTGTAGTGTTCACTTAAAGTTCAGCATGGAAAATAAGGAAGCATTGCTTATGAGATTGAATTCTGTGTAGGGTTTCTCCAGCTATAATGAGCCCAGGTTTGCTAGGTGTGTTAGAATAGACTCTTGCCTCTGTCTCCTGCAGTGTGATTTTTTCCTAAAAGCTTATTTCTTTCTACTTGAAAAGCTCGTCTCTTGTAGCTGATAAAATTATCTGCAAAGATTTGTATCTGAGGTTGTGCCATAAATCGTATTTACCTGTAGGATTAACATTTGCAAACATAGGACATCTATCTACAAAAAGAAAGGAAAGGAGGAGATGTGCGTGGGCTGGGGGATTGGGGCATTTTTCTATTTACGTTTTAAAAAAAGAGGATTCAGATAGATCTTGCAGGCATTTTGAATATATTTTTGCATTCGTACAAGGTGTGGATCTGCTCAGCTCCAGCGAGCATCATTAAGGCTCTTGGTGAGCCTGTAAGATACAGAACCCACAAAATCATCTCGAAAACAGTTTAGTCCCAGGAGGAGTAAACACGTGTCCAGCTGTGCTGAGAGCTGCTTGAGCTGGCAGCTGAGATTTCCTGTCCTTTGACATGCTCAGGCTGGGCTGCCTTCTGTGCCCTCAGCTGCTTTTGAGGCACTGGAAGAGGGCCTGTTTTTTTGTTTTTTTTTTTTTTAAAAAAAAAGGATTGTCTTACCAGCAGCTTCCTTCACAGCCAGATTGTGCAAGCAAGGTCAGAATTCAGTATACAAGGCAGGATGGGTTGAGATCTGCCCCTAGACATAGTCACCTCATGGACCTAAGCTCCTAACCTCAGCACCGTGGGAAGAGATGAACCCACATGCACTGCACTGACTCTCAGCCCAAGTTAAGGCTCACTCAGTTTGAGTAGTCCCATTGCAGGGGACTGGATGAATCAAGAGCTGTCTTCCTGCAGGAGCTGAATGCTGAGCACCCAGCACGTTACAGCTGCACTGAGATAATTGCTAAACAAACATGGCGAAGCACGTCATTCACATTTCTCTCTTTTTCGATCTGTTTGGGTCTCCTGCAGGTCCCTCACCACATGAAGACTTTACCCTACTACAGCTACGACCAACCAGTGATCAGCTACTGCCAAGCCCACAAACCCCTCCACGTCAACAAGGGCTACGACAGCATGGCCCGGGAGCAGCCAGAGCCCACCAACCTGGAACTCAGTCGGGACCACAGCTTCATAGCCACAATCGCACGCTCAGCGGCTCCGGCCATCTACATTGAGAGAATACCAAATTAGGGCCGGAGGCAGCGGGGAGCTCTTCCGAAGGACCTTTCAGCTCAGAAGAGAGCAGGGCCAGGAGCTAAAATCCACCGTTCCACTAAGAGATGTTCCAACACAGACCACGGGAAGGGGATAAAGCAGACCCCGCAGACTGGAAATGCTGTCTTGCAGTACACACTGAGAACTTCAGGATTTTCTTTGCTTTAAACTTTCGAACAAATTCCTCAATGTAAATATTAAAGAGAGATTGTTGAGTTCTTATTAAAAAAAAAAAAAATAGATTTCACTCTAGCTACATAAAGGGATGGATTAAGAGTTTTGTTTGTATATTTGATTTTTCTACATTGCACGGTTCCAGGGAAGGAGAACCACAGGTAAAAAATAAAGGGGTGGGGAGGGCAAGGGCTGGGGTGGGATGGGTCAGCCATGATTCCTTATTGAGTGTTTATTACTCTTCAAAAATTTGTTTAATATTTTTGGTTCTTTTTCAATGGAGCAAAAGATAGATTTATATTTTCTTTTTTTTTTTTTTTTTTCCTTTTCCTTTTTTATTTTTTTAATTTTATTTTTTTTTATTATTTTTTTTTTTTAATTTTTTTTTTTATTTTTTTTAAAGTGGTCGAGCACTAATATTTCAAACTTCAGACATGGGCATTACAGCTTATGTTGAACCAAAAGGACACTGGCAATGGATGCAGCAGAAACAAAGAAACTTGGGTGCATGTACATTTAAGAGACAGGCTGTACACTATGGAGGGTGCTTTTGATTTTTACTGTCATCATTGTGCTTCATTGTTGACACTATAATTACTTCTGGGTCTCTAAAAAAAAGGGGGGGGGAAACATGCAATGGTGTATCTCTCATATTTACAGTTCAGCTGTGCTGTAAGCAAAATTAATGGACATTTGGGAACCAAAATGGGAAAGATGTGCTTGAAATGAATCAGAAGGAAAATCCTTTAAAGCAAGAGTGTTTTGGTGAAACTCACTGGCTGACACAATTTCTAAAACGCAGGAGAATGTGTAACATTGGTTTTTTTTGTTTTGTTTTGTTTTGTTTTGTTTTTTTAAATTAATTATCCTGATCAGTTAGTTTTTGTGTAGTTTTTATCAATAAAATGACAACAACAAAAAGTGGTGGAAAAAAAAAAATAAACATACTATTTTGTGGTTGGGACACCACAGCCAAGCTACTGTTTGAATGATTTCTCTGGATGTGTTACACAGGGATTCAATGGACAAAGGGAACAAAAATTTTATCCCATTTCACCTTCTTGGAGCTAAAGGAATTGGGTGAAGTTTGGAAAAGTTGTTCCTCCCTAAGAGTAGGTTTAGGGATAATGCTGGGGGAGGGAAGAATGAGAAGGAGAAGCCTTCTGGCTTTCCTAAATATTTTGTCTCTGTGATGAAGCTAGATGGGTTCAGATTAGAAGGTAAGATATATGTTTTTTTAATTGGCTGGTGAATAACACAGCAGTGGGTGTTAATTTAATTAATACTTGTCACTTGGCCACAAGGTTAGGATTCAATGCATGAGTCTCTGTAAGTGCTCATTCTTGTATCATATATACAACTTCGTATTGTCTTCTGCATTTCTCACCTGAAAAACATATTTTTGTTCTGAAAGGAAAGGAAGAATGTATGTGGATGTATGCATTCTGTGCACTAGGCAGCTTGTAGGAAAACGTGGACCTGCTGGATGCATCGGAGGTAATGTATTTAGAATTAAATGCTAGGCAGGAAATGAAAGGAAAATGGAGTGGAAGACGAGGTGATAAATTTACAGCCAGCTCTATTAGACATCTCAATCTGTCAGATTTAGCATTCCTACAGACAGAGGGAAAAGGTTGCCTGAAACAACGGGCTTCTTCAAATTGAGTTTAAGACATTGACCCACAGCCTTTTACACCAAAAGTGGAAGCTCCCTTTTTCTCCCATTGATTCCTGTGGGCTCTGGATCAGCACTGGAATATGTTTCAATAGGCATCAAAAATGTGGTGACGTTCCCATGGTCCTAAAAGGTGATAATGGCTGTGTTTGTATTATAGGGTTCACTACTGTGTGCATGGCTAACTGGATGAATCCACACCTTTCTACCTGAAAATGTTGCTCTTTTTGTGCTGTTTGAACCTTGGTGCCAGTATGGGCAAGAAGCATTTTCTTAGTGTTCTTGATGATTAAGGAGGTAACGTTCCACGAATGTTTTGAGGACATATTGTTGTGCCTTACCTACCTGCATGAAGAGACAGATATTCACATGGTGGATTGCTTTAGATCAAATCACGATGTCAGTGCAGCATGTACCAGGCTACCTGAAGCACTGTTAATTAGCTGGTTGCAGCGATCAGACCAAAAGGGCTCTATACAAACCTCTCTGGGACTCTGGATGTAGCAGAAATTAAATCTCACACTGCTGTGGCTGCAATTAGAGCCAAAGAAATGTGATAAAACCCATTTTTGAAGAAAAAAAAAAAAGGAAAAAAAAAAGCCTGCAGTGTAACATGTCCAGCTCCAGTCTTTTGTTATGAGTTTCACATTTGTCTTTTGTTTTTCAAGAGTTGGCTCATGGAATCGTGATTGTATTACAACTTCAGCTTAAAAGCTGCCTAGGTTCCTCATAGGGAAGGTCTTACTCTCCTCTTCAGATGGTTTTTGAGGGAGGATGGAGCATTTCCCCAGATGCCAGGTAAGGCCCAAGAAAAACTTTGTTCTGTGTCCCTAAAGATCCCTCCCCTAGCAAGCAGCAAACAGGCGTACTGGAGAGAACTCATTAGTGAGTGTTTGCTAATGATGGCATCTTTATGGTCACTGCTGGGTCTGAGCACCAATGTCACAGAGCTCCTCAAGACAGCTGCTCGTGGTTGTGCAGTCTTCAGGCAAGCTGGATGAAAATCAGCCTGACCTTCAGCCCAGTGTTGTTGAACTCTGTGCTTCACGAAAGACAAAAACTGATGGAATCAAATAACAGCTTCTGGGAGGCGTTGAGAGAAATTGACTGCTACCTGGCTCTCCAGCTTATAATTGCCTTGCAAATGTCAGCAGGGCACTGAAATTACGCTGCACTGACAATGTGATGGGTAGGAGCTGCACCCAAGGAACGTGAGTCCGTAAAAGCAAGTTTCTGTTTGGATTTATAGCTAAGGCTGGCAATGTTCAGCCCTGAGATTTAGAAGCCTTTTGGAATATGCTGGCCCTTCCCATAGTGAACTGGAAACATTCTGGAGATTGATAAACACAATTTTGTCTCAGCTCCCCACTGGGAAAATTTCCTGAAGGAATTTGCCACACTGTACATAGGAAAACTTGTGCCTTTACAGGTATCTTTAAGCAGCACGGTGATTTGTCTGCTGTGTTATGTTATAATGAAAGGAATTAATTTTTAGGAGGTCCCAGCAATTGGGCTCTTTTAAATGTCTGCAGTCACTTTTTTAAACCTAGCCAGACGAAAAGGAGTTTGATAAGGCTTCAGGTCCATCAAGTCTCGGCCTTGCTTTAATGACAAACAAATTACCTGTCTGATGTAATTGCCCACACACAAGCCTCTGAATGGCTCCCACATAACATTAATAGCAATAAAGAATTATCTGACAGAACTTGTACAGTTTGGACTTGGTAGAGGAGAGATTTTGATCTCCCCATGCCTCAGAAATAGAGATTTCCAGAACACATGTTGTGTTCCCTGCTGCCTCAGCAGCAAATGTTCCTTCTGCTTTCCATAGGATTCTGCTCCTCATCAAAAATACAAGATGTACTTATCCTTTCAAGTGTAATCAACAGTGGAAAATGAGAGTATGCCAGCCACAAAGCAGTCATAGGGTAAACGTGATACTGAGGGGCATGGTTCAGTAGGCATGGTGGTGAAGGGTTGGACTTAATGATCTTAGGAGGTCTTTTCCAACAGTAATGATTCTATGATTCGTTTTATTTAAAAATCCACCTAACTCCATGCACATAGGAGAGTTAAGCAGAAAAAAAAATAGGACGTGAAATAAAGAAATCCATCAACACAGCAGTTCTGTGGCCAAGGTCTGGGGCCATCGGTGGAGCAGCAAAAGCAAAAAATTCCTCATTTTCTTCCAGAGCAGTTATTTCACTGGTACTTAATGCCCATTATTTGCTTTGATGCTCTGGTGACTGGCATTTTGGTAATATATGGGCAGGTTAAAGTAAATTCATCTACGGAAGAGAGTTATATTGGTCATTACTGGAGTCAGGGGATGCATTACATCTTTGTCATTACTGTGCTAAGTCGTATTGCAGTGATACAAAAATAAAATTACATGTGAAGCAGGCAGATCCCAGCTTCTTTTTACACACTGTTGATGCCAAGCAGCTCCCAGTGCTAACTCAGCACTTTTAAGGTCTTCAGCAATCTGCAAGCAACATTCTTGTTTGTTTGTATTGCACGATTGAGCTACAGGTAAGACAAGCTTTCCAAAGCAAGTACAAAAAAAGCTATTAAATGCATTCTTGCTTCTCTAATTTTTGTATTCTTTTTCCCCCTCTAGGAGGTATCCAAAGTTGGCAGAAAAGGAAGAGAAGTCACTCCAAGCTCAGTAGTAGCTGAAACATTGCACATCTGCAAGGCAGGCTTGAGTAACTGAGGAGCTGCTGCCTCCCCCGGAGGCAAGAGGCAGATGATGCAGGTAATAGATCTTATTCCTGTTGCTTTGCTGTGGACACAACTGGCCTTGGGGAAGCAATGGCTTTTCAGACAGCTCATTGCATCAGTGGCTGCTGAGCTCTGGCAGTCCTGCTGTCTCAGCTGTGCTTCTCACTCTCTATTACTTTGCCATATGACCTTGGGAATACCAATTTACTCTTTTATTCTCTTCCTGGCCGCTAGCATGTCTCATGCCTAGCATTGTGCACCAGCACGGTCACGTCCTCTGTGACTTCTGGTGCAACAGAAATGGAAATAAGTGAAAAAGCCTGAAAATCCCTGTCTTGCCCCTTTCCCTGCCACCCCCCAGTGTTATTTGGTGTATTTAAAAGGCAAGCAAAATCACTTTGATAACGCAATAAACTATGGTAGCTCGTGACTTTCAATCAGCGCTTCGGACTCCCCAGTGATCTGAAGCACTCTTATTTGCTAAAAGTGTGTTCTCAGAACAGCAGGAATTAGAGGATCTTGATAAGCTGATGAAGCAGGGAAAGAAAGCATTTTCTTCCAAAGTCATCCTGGGAGTTGGGGTTGGAAAAGAAGGCAGCTGTTGTATACAGTAGAGTTTGTGTTTTGCTGGGGAATAAAAAAGAAAGCGTACCCCAATAGTCTGAAGCAGAATATATTATATATATTT